GCCCAAGAAAACCACTCAGATTCCTAAGGGTCAGCATGTGAAGTTTAGTGCTGGCATGTGAAAAATTAACAGAAAACCTGTGGCCCTGGAAATAAAGGAACTTAATGATCTTCTGCCTTGTCTCTATTCATCATAAGATTGAGGTTTTTTTTTTTTTTTTTTTTGAGACAGAGTCTCGCTCTGTCACCTGGGGTAGAGTGCCATGGTGTCAGCCTAGCTCACAGCAACCTAAAATTCCTGGGCTCAAGCGATCCTCCTGCCTCAGTCTCCTGAGTAGCTGGGATTATGGGTGCGTACCTGGCTAATTTTTTTTCCCTATTTTTTAGTTGCCTTGCTAATTTTTTCAATTTTTTTTTTTTTTTAGTAGAGACAGAGCTCTTGCTCTTGCTCAGGCTGGTCTCAAACTCCCAGCTCAAGGGATCCTCCTGCCTCAGCCCCCCAGAGTGCTAGGATTACAGGCGTGAGCCACCGCGCCTGCCCAGACTAAGGACTTTGGCCAGGACCTTTTCCCACGTCCTCTGGGGTTCACGCAGCATGTTTGTGGGGTTCTGTGTGTGTGCAGGGTGCACTGCGTAGCTGGAGAGCAGAGACAGCAGACAGACTCACAGGTACCCCGGGACTCTGACAAGGCAAGAAAGCACCAAGGCATAAATCTGCTGGGGCTGAGAGAATGGGGAGGAGACTGTGGGCTGGGCCTGGAGCACACCCGTCCCGGGAGCCAGGACTTGACCACTGGGCAGAATTGAGAGAGACAGAAGGTGTGAAAAAGGGGATGCCTCCTCAGCAGTGAGGTCGCAGGGAGGACCCTGGCCCTGCTCAAATGCAGGATGAGGCAACCGAGGGGATCAAAGCCAGGAGGTAGAATTGGGACTTCTTCCTGAAGGCAGCGGACAGCTCTGTGAGCAAGGCTGAGTGATGTGAAAGTGTGTCTCTAAAAGCCCAGGAAAGAGGATCGATCCCAGGTTTGTAACGCCTGGGCAGAGAAAGCCCAGCAACATGCCGTTCTTGACCTGAAACCGGGTGTTCTCCCTGTTTGCTGGTCTGCCTGGCTGGTCATGTTGACATGTGGGTGCTGTACTCGGTCCACACAGCATCCCACCCCTTAGAATTTTAGGCAAGGCCGTGAGCATGTCTAGCTCAGGGCACCGCTTGGGTATTCAGACAGTGCTGGGCACAGAGTTTCGTGACGCTGGACATGCAGGGCCTCGGGTGGAGGAACAAGTAATCCCTGCAGAGCCTGGAGCCTGTGTGCAGGTCGGCTCCCTCTGGAAGACAAGGTCCCCGCAGTTTTGTCCAGCCTCCCTACACTCCTCCCGCGGGGTACAGGGTGGTGGCGAGGGCCTGGGCTTGAAGGAACAGGACCTGCCCCAGTCCCTTCTCCATCTGTGTTTACATTCTCAGCGTTCTCCAGATGGGTTGTTCTGTGATCTGACCTACTTTCCTTTGTCGAATGTGCTTGGGGCTAATTAGCAGCTCAGGGGTCCACTGGCAGTGTTTGGAGAGTCTCGCTGCTATGGCAACAATAGACTTCCCGGAGGCTGAAGGCAAAGGTGGAGCTGTTCAAGTTTGTTTTTCTTTGGGTGTCAGAGGTGCTTCAAACTATACGTAGTCCCTGAACCTCTGTAGGATTTAAAAGCCTGTACCACGTAGTTTATCTCTTAGGGATTTGTTAAGTTTGCTGATCTTTCTGGTAGGTGTAAATAACGTGCGAATAGACTCATTCTCCATTTACAGCCCAGGCCCGTAGCCTGGCCATGGTGGGTGCCACGGTGGGTGCTCAGTGCATGTTTGAATAACTGAGGGAGTGAGCGGTTGGAATGCTAACTGCATGCATTTTAGTACTTCTGGATGAAATCTTTGCTTCCTTATTGTACACCTCTGTGACTTAACTTTTGTGGAAGGACTTGGGGGTGAGGTGAGGGAGGGAAGAAGGGGAAATTGTAAAACAGGCAGGCGTGGGATAGGGGTGATCTCTGTGTTAATAGCAGTTACATTATTGTGGATAACCGTAACACAGGGGAGGCGGTGCGTGTCCAGGGTGTCTGGAAGGTTTAAGCTGTGATAAATGGCCCTGGACTGCCGTCACTTTGGGGTTCCTTGGCCTGACTTCAGTAGTTTTTCTGTCTTTTCCCTTTTTGTTAGCTGTTCTTCTTGGTACTATCAATGTACCTTAAGCAGCCTTAGTTAGTTAGTGCAGGCTGCTATAACACAACTACCCTAGACTGAGTGGCTTAAGTAGCAGACTTTTATTTCTCACAGTTCTGGAAGCCGGAAGTCTGTGATCAGGCTGCCAGTGTGGTTGGTTCTAGGTGAGGGCTCACTTCCTGGTTTGCAGACGGCCACCTTCTTGCTATATCTCAATTGGCACAGACAGAGAGTTTTGGCAGGGAGATATCATGTGTTTCTTTCTCTCTTTATATGGGCTTGATCTCATCATGAGGGGACTCTCATGACCTAATCTAATCCTAATTATTTCCCAAAGGCCCTATCTCTAAATCTAAATACCATCCCACTGGGATTAGGGGTTTTCAACAGATGAATTTTGGGGGAACACAAACATTCAGTCTGAAGCACAGCCCTTTTCCTCTCTAATCATTTCCCTCCTCATTTTTTCTGCTTTACAATTTCTGCAGACTGAGTTAACTAGATCACTAACTTTGTTTTAAATTGTGTGTAAAATGAGCACCAAAATGTTTTAAATGAGGGTCCAAGAGGCTCTCCCATAAGTAAATTACACAAACTAATCATACGTAGAGTTTTAGTTGCGTCGACTGCAATGGTGCCCAAATTCTATTTGTTTCTACCCTGGTTCCTGGTCATGTTTTAACATCAGTGAGATCTAGAGAGGACATGCTCTGCTGTAGTGGCGTCTGTCCCACCCATGCAGAGTGTCCTGGGCAGTCTAGAGTGTGGGCCGGAAGTGAGGGTGGGGGTGGTAAGGAGAGAGGAGCAGCCAGTGTGTGGATTTTCCAGATGATTAGTGTTGGTTTTCCAGATGATTAGTAATGCGTCACTATGGCATAACTTTTTGGTTATTGGGATTCTAAGTAAAAGCACTTCACTTTAATGCTGCCTTATTTCTTTTATGGTATCATACTTAGGGGAAAAAAGTTCCTTATAAAGAAGGATCCTGGTCCAGGGCATTCATAGATGGATGGTATTTAATTTAGTTTTTCCAATACCCTTGCAAAGTAGATGTTTTTCCTCTTTTGCCAGCTGAGGAAATGGAGGCTCAGTATGTGTGGCTCAAGGCCACACAGATGAGAGAAAAGTCAGAATTTGAACTCTGGTCTCATTCCAGAGCCCTCTTGTTATTGCAGCAAACCTCTACATACTAAGGGTAAGGACACTTTGGATAGCTTTGTGCTTTTGCAAAAAAAAGAAAAAAGTTGGCAGGTGAGTTCTAATTGTGGTTCCTCATATTTTCCCCATGTTTTTCTACTACCAGGCTTGACTGAAAGGCATTCTCTAGGTGCCCAGGGAAAGCATTACTTTCCTCCAAATATTAATAGTCTAGGTTGGCGCTTATAAAATTTTCAGCTCCACGTGGTAAGGTCTTTTGGACCCCCAACTACATATAGAGTCCAAGATGTCTGTTTTCTGACAGTGAAACAAACCCACAGGGTGTTGAGCATGGTGATAGGATGAACAGGTTGCAGGATCCTTGCCACCAGATGACACCCAGTGCTGACAGTGAATGACAGCTTCCCCGGGAGGTGCTTTCTAGAGCAAGCCTTATCCTGCCACCCCTGACAGTTACCTTCCCTGCGAGATTGACATAATCAGTAGCTATTTTCATATAAATGCAAAAGTAAACCTTCTCAGTGTTTCCTGGAAATTTCATGTTGTTGCATCCTGGGACACAATTTTGACTGGCATTTTGTTTGACATTGATATTAAGTATGAACAGAGAAAAGCCAGCCCAGCTTGAAGCTTTAGAACTATCCTGACATCATGAGTGGAAATCTCAAAAGTGCCCATGCAAACATCCTTGGCCACATTTCCAGAAAACACTCAGTGTACTGGAGGAAATTTTAAAATGCTTTGAACAGTTTTATTTTTATTTAATTTTTCTTTTGGCCACAATTTAGGTACATTTTACTTACTGCTTCATGGGGGAAGAAATCCTGGGAAAATGTAGACGTCTTCCACTTACTCATCGGAGATTCCATTTGGATTCCATTTGTGATTCTGTGTTTGGTGCTCAGAAAGTGGGTGCATTGAACTCAGAGCAGGAGGGGGCGGTCAGGTCCCAGGGTGTGCCCCTAAACCTCCTGCACCTATGCGGAGATGATGAAATCTTTCTCTAGTACCCTTCACTGGGCCAGGCCCAGGAGCCCCAGGCTTGAGGGATTCGGAGCCAGCCAGAAGCCAGGGATGGGGACTTGGCTGCTGACAGGTGTGCATGGCTGCCTGGCAGGGGCATGGGGTTGGGTGCTGGGGGACACTCCTGCAGACCCAGCCCTGAGCCATTGCATGTCAGGGAGAGCTGCCTCTTTCCGGTACAGCTTGTTGTTGCATTCGGGCCTGACTCGGGCTGCTCAGCTTGCCTGGCTTCTGTTTGTTTAGGGTGAGCTTTTGCACAGGGCTTGGCTCTGTGGGGAACTCATCTGGTGGCCAGAGACGGTGTTGCAGACCTGCAGGCCCTGTGTGGCTTTCTCCCGAGCTTGTCCCAACCCCCTGCAGACTAGGGGGCTAAAGCTGGTATTCTCGGAGGCAGGGCCGGTGCCTCCAGAGCCCGGGGCCTGAAGAAAGAGAAGCGCGCAGTGGGAAAGGGCGCACGTGTCTCACAGCTCCGCTCCTGCGTCCCCACTGCGGCTCATTTACCTGTCCTCCAGCCATCCCGTGGCCGGCGGGAGAGACCATTTCCTTCTTGCAGGAGGGATGAGCCATCGGAGAACCCCCCACTCTCAGTGGTCAGCCCGCCCGACCACCACGCCCCTCCTTCCTGGGGCCCGGCTCCCCGCCCGTAGCTCATTTGCATCTCAAAGCCACACAATGCAGGCGGTCCCGGCGAGGCGGGAGGAGGCTGGGGCCGAGGGAGGGTCTTCGCCCTCCCCCCACCCCCAGCCTTGTTTCCGGAGCCAGCGCTGGAGCTTTGTGAAGATGCAGGCGTCGGGGCTGCTCGGCGATGATGACATCATCGTGTCACACACAGGAGCCCGCGGCCGAGGGGTTTAGGAGAAGAGCCGATCGGACCTCACCGGTGCTCAGGCTCCCACTCTCGGCCCCGGGCAGAGCCGCGCGCACACTTGGGCGCGCGCCGGCCACCCTTGCGCGCACACATCCGCGGCGCTCGCCCACCGGGCCCGGGCTGCTCCTCGCCGCCGCCACCACGGATGCCCGCAGCTGGTCCCCTCTGCAGTGCAGCAGCCCCGGCCGCCGGCCGGCCCGCCCCGGGCTCCCGGCTGGAGGATCGCGCCAGGACGCTGGCCCCGCTCGCAGCTAGCCTGCGCGCCAGGGCACAGCGACGATGGGAGGGTCGCAGTCCCTGCAGCCAGCCCCAGCCAGCGACCTGAACCAGGAGGCTTCCGAGGCAATGTAAGTGCTCCGCCCAGGCCGCCCGGAGCCCCCCAGGGAGGAGAAGCTGCCGGGCTTTGTTAGTGTCGCCTCTCCTGATGCCGGTGCCCCTGCGGGCCTGGGGTTCTTGGTAGCCTTGCACGGCTTTACCTGGTGGCTGCTCTTTCTAGCATTTTGTGCTCCCTCTGGGATGAGCATCTGACAGCCCCAAGATACTGGTGTAGGCAGAAATGATTTCCTGGAATTTGGTTTTGGTTGTTCAGCTGCGGATGCATGGCTGGGGGCTTCCTGGGCCATCGGCATCTTTCCTCTGCACACCCGGCACAGTGGTATTTCCTGCAAGGGAACAGCCGAGCGTCAAAGGCGGCCTCCTCCCAGGAAGAACCCGTGAGTGTGGCAGCACTGTGCCGTGGAGACAGACCAGCTTACGGGCAGCCACTCACAGGGCCGAGCAGATGGTGTGGAGTGCACTGGCGGATGTTCAGTCCGGTTAGCCTAAACATCACCTATATGCTCCCTTTCTGGTGATCACTGGAGGACGAGGCCCTTGCTATTATTAGTAAAGACAGCCGAACAGTCTTGTCATTGGTCGAGGCAGTACTTGGCTGTGCATCGATCCAGGAATCCGATCTTTTCTCTAAACCACAGAGCTAATGTGCTCAGAAGTGGCCTCTATGCTGGATGAGTGTTTATTAGAATTGCTGTTTCTGTTATGGTCGGCTCCATTACCTACCCGGGCATGTTTGGAGGATGGGGCTTGTCGAATAGGTCTGCCTGCCGGGTCATATTTCAGCAAGTCAGGCTTGCATCCAAAGTGGACCTCCCAGCCCTACATGCGCCCCTTTTCCAAAGAGAAGAATGCATTTCAGAGAAGAGTATTTCCTGGGGACTTGGGGGTTGGGTGAGGTGGTAAGGCAGTGGATTCTTAAGAGTCATTGATGTGTAGATTAAAAGATTGTAGAGGTTGGTGTGCGTGGGAGGGTGGGGGCCTCATGCCAGGCTTTCTCCCTGGTCCCCACACCTGGGCTTCAGTGAGGAGCTGGCTCCGTGTGGTGATGTCATGCCAGGCTGAGCCTCATGGTTTTCCAAGGTCCAGGTCTTTAGCAAGGAATCATTCTTTGGGGCAAGTGTGTACCCATCATTTGTCTTCATCCCTGTGGCTCAAGAAAGCATCGTCTTACTATGGAGGCGCATCGTGCGTGTTTGAGGATTTTTTTTTTTTATGCCATTCACCTTGCACTGTGCCTGCCCTGTTTCTCTTTTTGTGTAGTGTTGCTAGGTGCATGAAAACACACCTCGAGCCTAGGCAGAAAAGTACAGTTTAACCCAATTTTTGAAAGCCTCTGAACTGGAAATTAGTTAATCAGTGACAGGCGCTTAGCTGGCTGTCGCAGCTTAGACCCACAAAAGAGCTTAAGAAACAGAAATGTGACCGTATGTTTGGGAAAACGTGCTCCTCAGCCATTGGAAATGCAGCTCGCCAGTCCCTGCCATCCCGCCCTCTTTGCTAGTTGAGTTGATAAATGATCAGTGTTCTGTTGGCTGAGCGCTGAGTTTGGAGAGCTTCTGTTAGGTAGATGTGCCTTTTTGGATAGGGTCCCTTAAGGTTATGCCCCATGGGGATAATGATATTTAAGTAAAATTTCTGATTGAATAACCACATTGTGATGGAAACTGCTTATCAAATATTTTCATGGTCGAGTTGGTCCATATGCACCCGCCTGAGGCTTCTCTCCCTAGAACTGCTACTTCTGAAATGTCTTTAAATAGAGATCTTTAAGATAGTATATTTGCTTGTTCACAGAATCCCACTGTCCATCTTCTAACAATTTTGTTCTAAAGATGGAGAGAGGAAATGTTTGGTGCTAGTGCCATGGCTAGCATCTGTCCTCTTCAAAACCTGTCTCTGCTGTCTGAATAACTAGGGCTTGTTTTTCTACTACAGATGTGCTCTTTTCCAGTCTTGAGGCCTAAAAAAAATGTATTAAGAGAGCTCCTTCTTTTTTGCATGGGCACAAGTCTCTTATGACAGTTCGAATTTCCGTGCACCTAAAAATGCATGCACATGAATAATACATGAGACAGGGTTGGGGTCCATGGCAGGAAGGAGCTTCTATTGTA